CCATTTTCCTTCCTCATGACTCAAGGCAGAGTTAACACCGTTGTTATCAAATTTTTTTTTTTTTAAAAAAGTCTCAAAGAGGACGGATGCATTTTTATATTTAATGAAATCCCTTCCTTCCAATATAGAACTTTGAGTATAATTTTCAGACAGATCCAGGAGGATGAATTGGCAGCGTTATGCTTAAAAGCTTTCACTCAATTGTTTTAGAATATTGAAAGGAGCACTAATGCTGCAATGCTTAAAATAGCTCCACTGTGTTTATCAAAGAAGAGGTAAACTAGATGGTATGTGCATTTCTTGCTATATCTTTCTTTCTAATATCTAAATACAGCTCCTGATCATGCCTTGGGCACTGTGTGTGCATGTTGACGCTGAGCACCACGTAAAGACACACTTGGATTCTATGTACGGAATTCTGGGGGTTGCAGGGGTTAAGTGTAATCCTGATTATACAGTGTTAACATTTTCCCTGCTGATATCAAAGTGTAGAAGGCTGACAGGCTGACTTGTTAGGAAGGGCTGGGAGAGGGAGAACAGACTCCGACCTTGAGAGGCCAAACAGCCAGCCCTTGTATGGCCAAGTCCCTGCCCGTGTCCAGCTGATTGGTTAGAGGGGCAGGATTGGTGCTGTGACAGGTGCTGGAGAAGCCTACACCTGTTTTTCCCATATGCTGATCTGGTGATTACATTTTTGTGGGAGTTCCAGATACTGTGTGGGATACGCACAGCAAGCCAAGAAACTTGAGAAGGCATTGCAGCTTATGGTGACCTGTGATATTAACGAATTTCAGATGGTGTAATAGAATTTTCAAGTACTACTTTAAAATTTAAGTAGACATAGGCTGTATTTCGCATATATATGAAGAATGAGAAAGTCTTGTGTACTTTTTATTGTACTGAACATCATTAGATAGCACCCAAAATAAAAATACTGATGAATGCTGTAGTCTAAAACGTGGTTTGGTTTTTTAAATCAGAAATTTACTCTGTTGTGGAAACAGCTTCTGTAGGAAAACAAGTGCAATTTCTTTATGGTGCCGAGAACATCAGCTTGCAGATTTCAAATCTTCAGGGTTTTTACTATGAAAATCACAGGATATAGATAATTTTTGTCAAAAAGAAAACACACAACTCCCCTCATGCCTGTATAGTCCTGTTGCTGCCTTACGTGCTGCTCATGTGTAGCTGTTAAAAAATTTATATTGCTTTCCTTTTGAAACCTTTTAAAAACATTGAAGATTATTGTATGGGTAATATTTTAAATCTTTTGTTATAAGTAAGAACTTACAAAGGAAGATTACTGGTTGTGTAATAGGGTGAAAAAGAAAAACAGGAAGGAATACAAATATGTCTTAAAATGTGTGGTTTCACATCCTTTCTCTCGGTAGCTTATTTGTAATGCCTAGATTGTAGACAAGTTTAGTTTTTTTTCCAGGGGATGTTGATGTGAGGTCTCCATAAGAAAACAGGAAGTAGCCCAATAAAGCAGTTACATCAACTTAGTCTAAAGGAGTCTGAAAAAAATTATATTTAGCCAACTAAGTCATTTTAGAGGGATTATGTAATTTCTTTGTATACTTTTTTGCAGTTCTTGTTATTGTGCAGGATGATGGAAGTGCAGGAAAATTCTGCCTTCAGAAACCACTGGAACAGTGTTTCATGTATTGATGTACTGCCGTTGTTGAATTTGATCATAAATTTTATCCCCTGTTTATCACAGTTGAACTGTATGCATTTAAAAATGTGAATATGAAAATCGGGATGCTAAAATCAATTTATTAGAGAGCCTGTAAAATGGCTTTTAATTACCAGTGATGACATTAACTCCTTTGCCCTAGCCTTGACTCTTCCTTTGTTGGGCAGCTTTACTGTCATCAAGCAGTATCTAAAAATGGTTTTGCATGTAAGACTGGAGAGTTGAAGTGGTTATAGGCTCAAGTTACCCCATGAGATGGCACCTGGGAGAACCTGTGCCTTTGAATGAACCATTTCTCTTTGTGTATTATGAAATAATACTTTGAAAGACTTAAGCCTGTCTGTTGAACAGTGAGTTATGTCTGTGCAAGTTTCATGTAGTTTCAGTGGCTCTGAATGATTCAGTAGTATACAAAACTTCTTGGCAAGTTAGTATGATTTGTATGTGAATTTTCCAATTGTATTTCAGACCTTAAGAAAGAAAGGCCTTAATGGTTGTGAGAGCCCTGATGCTGACGATTACTTTGAGCACAGTCCACTATCGGAGGACAGATTCAGCAAACTAAATGAAGATAGTGATTTTATTTTCAAGCGAGGCCCTGTAAGTACTTTTATTTTATCTCTACTTTTTATTTGTTGATCCTTTTTATTAACTTCATTATTTAGGCTCTGAACAAGAAGGAACACAGAGGGTGCGACAGCCCGGACCCTGACACTTCATATGTGCTCACGCCACATACAGAAGAAAAATATAAAAAAATTAATGAAGAGTTTGATAATATGATGCGGAATCATAAAATCGCAGTGAGTACTACAGTATGGTTTGTGCTTCTATTACATGCATGAGAATTTTCATGGTGTTTGCTTACCACTGAAAACCACTGCAAAGACAAGAGTACTTAATGGTTTGAGAAGGGAGTATGTATTTATGAGGAAAAATGAGATCCTGATACCTCATCCTGTCAAAATAAGTTGAAGAATTATTCTTGAAGAATAAGATTTATCTCTGGCTTCTTTTACACTCACTGCCTTTTATACCTTGTGAACATGAGGTAACATTTCTGAATTTCAGAAGCCTGGCTTCATTGCCTAATCCTACCTAAAATGTTTTTATAAAGATAGATTTTTTTGTGGGTTGTAGGGTAGTTAATTTACATCTTTTAGCTCTTTGTCTGTTGATCAAGATGTTACAGTATGTTACAAGCAAGCAAATAGAATTGGATTAATTTTATCATCAAGTCAGTGCATTTATTTTGCTGAAGAATGGATGTAGAAAGGTGTTTTGATGTTTAAAGAGAAGTACTGGTGCACGATGGGAGCCTCTAAAGATAAGTGTCCTACTCCTGTTGAAATTCTAAGAGAAACTTCCTGGGACACTGAAAGATCTTTGAAAATTTTGTCCGAAGAGCCTAACCCACTTTCAGCCATAAGTCACTTGGCTTCAGAACTCAAGAAGTTTGGGGATAACAGTAATGTAAATTTTGTATGTTTTTCGTGGTGGTATATGTGATGACATTTAATTTCAGTCTACAAAAAAACAATTAGTGTTGAATATTACAGGGAAATTATTTTCTAAGAAAACTAATACAGGGCTCTGCCACAGCCTTTGAATTTTTGAACACTGCAAATCTTGTAGCAATTAAAGTAAATGGACTGGCTAGGTTAATCAGCACTGACCCTGGGGCAATTGAGAAGTGTGTCCACAAATAACTTGCTGTTACTTCAACATTATTTCATTGTTCAGAGCAATAAAGCCATCTCTGGCTACCTGAACAGCAAAATGACAGCCGTAATACTCAGCATCACTTCTTTCAGCAAGTTCTTTATACTTGAATGGAGACAATATGTTACTTTCTTGCTTAGTTTTGAAGCTTTTGATAGCCAACATTTCTGTGTTGAGACATCTTCAGGCCTCATCTCTCAGTATATTAGAGCTCAGTTGCTCTCCCTTAATTTTTTGTGATATTCCTGAACAGCCTAAATTGTCTCCACAGATGTTAATGCAAATAAAAAAGACAACACTGTTTCTCAGCTCTATAGTTCTGTGTTTATATCTTAAATTGGACCTGTTATGGTTCTACTTCCAATACTTAAGGATCTGTATAAGAACATGGTTTCTTTTGTTCTAGTTCACTCATTACTGCCAAAGGATAGGAATGAGGCCAAGTGTGAAGAATTCAGTCAGAACCAAACGAGTGCCATAGATGGGCAGAGGCAGCCTTTATTGTAAGGTGATTGGGGGAGCTGCCATCTATCAGTTCCACACTGAGAAACCCACAGAAAAAATATCCCACCTGTTTCTAGCATTGCTTTAAGCATATTTTGGATATCTCAAGTTTAATTAGAGTTACTTGACAGCATGCTGGGTCTTTTTGCAAGTGTTTTTTTCCAACCTTTTTTTGAATAGTTTCTTGAAGTAGTTTCCTGTGAAACAAATACCAGTACAGCTTGTCATTAGTTAGATCCTGTGAATGATTTGCTAGCATTACGTCGCTGTGCTTCGTTACTTTTTCCTTTCATCTGTGCCAAAAATTGATAATTATTCTTAGACTGCTTCAGTAGGGTCATGGTTATTGGCTCTCACTAGTAAGAGATTTTGTTTCTTGTAGGAAATGTGTTTTACTCTATTAATAAAAATAATGATTGTTATAGTTCTAATATTATGAAAATTGCCATACAGAAGTATCATTCTAGGTGAATTTTAAGCTCATGTGACAGAAGTGCATTTTTTTAAGTATACTTGCTAGGTCATGAATGTTTGTCAACTGCATTTGACCTCTAAATCAACACTTATCTCTCTATTCTGTCAATAAACACTACTGAGTTTACCCTTAAGTTGTACCTGTCATGGGTTTGTTTCCAGTAATTATGAGAGTTGTGAAAGAAAATAGTCCCTTTTGTTTCAGAAACTCATCACTGTCAAAGGATAGGAATGAGACAAAGGCCAAAGAAGTTAGTCATAACCAGCTGAGTACCATAGATGGGCAGGCATCTAAGCTTTTGATTCCAGTAGTTGTTGAATAACAAACATACATACTTCAGAAAAACAGTTGCCTTTAAAATAATACTGTGAAAATTAGAATTTTAAAAAATGAAATTTGCCAAAAAGGCATGTGGAATGGTTATTCAAGCAAAGTTTTGTGGAACACAGCTCAGAATACTGACAACTGAAATGTTTAAATCTGAATTACTGAACTTAGTGACTTTCTAAAGATCTGTTTACTTTTTTTGGTATGAAAAAGAAAAAGTTTTAGAGCTTAGTAGCAATGTTTTGGCAAAGTTATTAATGGAAAATGTATTGACTAACTTTTCTCTTTTTTTTGTGTAATAACTGACTTTTATAATGTGCATGTTTATGCTTATATTTTCAAGTTGCCACAGTTCATTGATTTGTTGACATGTTTAGCTTGTCATTGCTTTGTAATAATCCAAATTAACTGGTAAATTTGTATTTCTGAGCTTGTGAATTCATATGATTATCTTCAGATTTTTTGTATTTGACCTTTTGGTGTATTAGAAGTTTGAGTAATTCTTTTTGAATTGTGTATGTGATGTATAAGAGTTTAACACCATGCTCTACGACAAATGAACTTTTAAAAATTGTATGCTTAATAGAGTTTAAAAACTAACATAATTAACTTTTTTTTTTTTCCTAAACCTGAGTAATTCTTGGCAAACTTCAATGTATGTTTTTACAATGTGCTATTTCTGCAGAGATAGTTAATGCTAATCTTGTGTGTGTTCCTCATCTTCTTTCCTCCAGCCTGGCTTGCCCGCTCAGAACTTCTCGATGTCGGTTACAGTTCCAGTGTCCAATCCCAACACTCTCACCTACAGTAACCCAGGGAGTTCCCTCGTGTCCCCATCACTGGCAGCCAGCTCATCCCTCACGGACACCACCATGCTCTCCCCACCTCAGACCACCCTGCACCGGAACATGTCACCTGGGGCCCCTCAGAGACCACCCAGTACTGGAAATGCAGGTAACATGTCAGTGCTGTTCTGCTTTCGTCCTGTACCATCTTCTTTTTTAAAAAGAAAAATAAGTTAAAAAAAATAAATCCACAAACCAACAAAAAAATCAAGTAACAATTTCTTAGCGACATCAGTCCACTTTTTTTATATGCCTTAAGTTTTGAAGTACAAAATCATACAATGCTGTAATGAAAGAGCAAGTCAGTTTAATGCTCTGGCTTATTTTTATTAGGTGGAATGCTGGGGACAACTGACCTCACAGTGCCAAATGGAGCTGGTACTAGTCCAGTTGGTAAGTGTGTTATTGTGTCTTTGTTGAAAAACAGTATTGTGGTTTTAGTTGCTCAAAAGCAGTTTGTATTTTGACTCTTCTGGAGAAGTGGCTGGGGAAGAGCAAAGGTTGTCAGTTTCTTATTTGCCTTGTAATTGTACAGTTTTATCAGTTCTTATTGGGCATTTAACTTTTTACTGCTGTGCCTTTTCCACTTCAGCAATATTTGCATTTTTTATTTCAGTGGTTTTCAGTAGTTCTGTGCAGCTCTTGCTTTTGTGTTGCTCTAGAGGTGTAGTTGCAGCACTCTGAAGAGATCTTATGTTCACCAAATTTCTTACTGTGCCTGAAATTCCCTGCTCTTACTAAAATATTACAGTAACTGCTCACGAGACCTGAATGTTTGATACTAGTTCTGGTGCCAATAAAAATGAACAAAATGCAGACTGTATTGTTTGTATTGCCATGTGTATCTTGCTAATTATTTTTTAGCAGTTATGCAAAGAAAATAGTGAATCTTGGAAGCTGATAGCTAGGTTCTGTCTTCATTTTGGAAGACGGTTAGCATTTATTTCAAAACCATATTATAGATCTTGCCAAAGATTAATTTCACAGTATTTTTTTGGTCTTCAGTAAAAAGATACGAGAGCACTTTTTTCACTTAAATATTTTGTTTCCCCTGAAAAAAATTTAGTACTCTGATAAGAGGGCAGGCAGGCTGAAATTTATCATGCCTCAGAAAGACAATAAATTATGGCTCACTCACTCTGTGTGTGTTCCTTCCATTTCTTGAGATGTCTTGGTAACTGCAGGCCAGTTTTTGAAATGCACAGCTCCGCCTTGGTATGTGTTCATAGCAAGGAGTTAGAGAAGCAGCTGTTGACCTTTCAGGACTTGCCTGTTGGCTACTTAGTGTAGCAACTGGGAAAAAGTTCTTTGAAGATAAAGTCAGGCAATTGAATTTATGAATAAAAAATGCTGCAACTACAAGGCTGAAAGCACAGGATTGACTTTCCACTCTTCATCCATTCTTTGGCTGTGTGCAGCAAAGATGAAATATTTAAGTGTGGTTTCCATCAGGTAAGCAAGATTTTTTAAATGGAGGAAACTTCCTTGGTTGAAAAAAGATGATTATTTTTAGAAACTGTGGAGGTCAGATGTTGATTTCCATAGTATTGCTCAAGTCAGACTAAATAAGTTTATTATCAGGCTGTTTCAGACCTCTCTTCCAAAATCAGGCTTTAGTAACAGCAGCCTCAGATTTAACGCTCCTTCTTTCAATGAGCAAATTAAAACACTTGTTTACAGCACTTTCTATAGAATATTGAACTGTAGAAATAGCCTGTTAGAGCAGCTTGGTGAACATATTTAATGCACTAAAATGTTTTCCTTCTTGCATTTATTAATAGTTCATGTGAAAAGTCAAAATGCATCACTTATCTCTTAGTTTCCAGAACATCACACCCAAAATGTTATACATATACCCACTCATTTCTAGAAAGATTTTTTCATACAAGTGAAAGTTGTGCAAGAACCACGACACCTATTTAACCCCAGAATGCTGAGCCATGGAGTACCCTTAGCTGTCAGAGCTCCACCTTCTACTAGGATGTGCCATGGCTTCTTTTAAACACTGCGAGGTGCACAGTAACCTTCTCAGTTGCAACTCCAACCCAGAAACCATGCATAACCAGATGGAGCAAAGCTGCTGCCTTGTCGAGCTGAGCTTGACAGCTGCTGTTGAAGGGTGTATATCAAGCTAATTAGGTCTGCAGACAACAGTAGTTTGAATATCTTGTTACGTTTATTGTAGAATTCACTTCAAAAATATTTTTTTCTTCTTTTAGCTTTTAATCTTTGCTTTTAAACTTCTCAGGATGGGAGAATTCTCTTATGGATGTAGGAGTGAAAGGTCCTGTGTTGGATTTGCAGCTCAGAACTTCTAGGAGAGATGTCAGAGATAAAGGTGGAGTACTGGCAACCCGTATTCCCAGATACTCCCTTACAGACAAAGGAAAACCCAAGTCTCACTCAAAGTTATGACATTTTGAGCATTTGAGATTTTGATCTCAATTAATTGGAAGATACTTACACAGCTTTATCTCTCAGTAAAAAGCAAGTAAAGGTTATCCTGGTCTAAACCTGCCGTGGTACAGCTTGGAACCCACATGTCTTATCACTGGACACCAAGCAGAAATTTAAGGAGTGTTGATTTCTCAGGGTAGAGCTGTTGAGTTACAGATGAAAATCCCAAACAACCCCAAACCAGAGAAGAATCCAGGAAGAAGTACACTTTGGAGTCAACACAGAGCTGGACAGGCAAATACTCATCATTTTGAGATCATCACCAATACAAACAAGAAGAGGGAGAGGAGGTGGTTGAGGCCCCATCCCTGGGGGTCTTTAAGGCCAGGCTGGATGAGGCTCTGGGCAGCCTGATCTAGTGGGAGGTGTCCCTGCTCATGGCAGAGGGGTTGGAACTGGGGGATCCTTGTGGTCCCTTCCAACCCTGACAGATTCTGATGTTTTAGCAGAGGACTTTAGAGCCCTAATGGCTCAATGGTTGGACTTGATGATCTTGGAGGTCCCTTCCAACCTAAAGGATTCTATGATTCTATGATTTTCTGTAGTTGGGACCTCATTCAAACAAAGATGTTGCATAAAATGGCTCATATTTAGTTCACATGAGTCTTTCTCAAGTCCTGTGTAACTTGGTTAGAATAGATACAATTTGCTTTAGCAGTCAATCTGCCAACTTAACAGTTTTTCTGTGGAAAATAACAGAGTAAAAATATCTGCTTGTTATAGCAAAGATTGGTAGGTGTTTTTTGTCTAGAACAGAAAACTTTGTGACTATTTGATAATACTGAGATCTTATTTCACATGCAGCTGTCATAACTCTGAAAAAGCATTTATATTATGTAGTATTTTTAAAATTTTACCCACCACATGAAAAACATTTGCTGAAAATTTTTACTTGGCAACTGTGTCAGTTTTAAGAGGGGAGATAGGTCTGGTGTTGTAACTGCTTCTGAGCTGATTTTTTTTTTTTTTTTTTTTTTCCTGTTAATTAGGTGAAATGTTTTACTGATAGAATTTTCATGATACTGTTGCCCCTGATAAGTGTTAAACCCTGTTCAATTTGTAATGGGCAGCTAATGTGCTTCAGGAATCTTTTATCACCAGGATGTGTACAACAAACTAGCTGTTGTCAGTGTCATTGTGGCTCGAGCACATGCTGCATGTCTGCATTACTACTTTTAAAAGGCTGTGGATTCTGATGAGGCAAAGTATGGCCTCGCTTGCTCAGAGTACCCAGATACTGGGGAGGAGTTTCTCTGACTTTGAACTGAAAGGACTTGATGGATGGATCACTCTGCAATTTGTCATGAGGAGGTCTGCTTCCCAGTGTTCCAGCAGCTTCAGTATTATACCTGGAATCATCCAGAGATTGGCAATGAAATGCAGTTCCAGTGAGGCTGTCCTATCCTTGAGGGCTCTTGAGAATCAGAAAGGCTCAGCAGAAGTTCCACTTTTACCCCATCTCTGCTCTCTTTGCTGTACCTTTAACGTATTCTATCGAGCTACAGCCATGCAAAAAGGACTTTAGCTGGTTTTCATTGCCAAGGCTGCATGAAAACTGTAAACCCTGAGACCTTTGAACTAAGATGAGTTCCCCTAAGTTCTTCCCAGCTCTAGGTGGTTTTGAAGGAGTTCATAGAAGTGGATGCTCTTTATGATCATGGGATGACACATTATCTGTCTATACCTTCCTTCATCAGTGAAGTTGCCATTCTGGTCAGTAAGGCAGATTATGGCCCAGATTAATCTTCTGAGAAATTACCTTTCCTCTTACAATTTTATCATCAGGAGAGTGAATAAGAAAGATCTAGTTTTCTTGAGTACTGAATTTCTCCTCTTTGTTCCAGAGCTCTGTCTTCTCTAACGTTCTTGCTAATCTTCAGGTTCTGAGAATGTGAAGTAATTTCAGGAATACTGAATTTCTTTGGAATAGAGCTGAAGGATACATCTGCTTGAAAAACTGCATCTCTATTAAGAGACAGCATAGATAATTTGTGATCTTTTATCCTGGCCTTGGGAAGGATTATGCAGTGATGCAGTTGACAGCTTGCACTCACCCATAAACTGTATGTTGCCAGAAAGGGATCTGGACAGAGGACTGAAAAAGATTGCACTTGTAAATGGATCCTTTTGTCTTGAGAGCTTGGCTCATTGGAAGAGCTTTTTCTGCTTGTCTGAGGATAAAAGAATCTTTCAGCTTGGTCTTTCACGAGTCTGAGTCAAGTGGCTAACATGCTGCAGTTCTTAAGAGTACACCAGAAGGCTTCAATAACAGAACAGCTTTCTGCATGTACCTTCCCATTCATGTTGTTTTCTTTATTAAATGAGAGATACCCCAATGAGAAGTATCCAGCTAACTCTGGAAAAACTTAACTCTTGCAGGAATGATACTGAGGAGTTATCCTTTTGCAGGAATTTTTGCTTGAAACTGGATGCATGCTGTCAGCCTTTTCCTCAAAACAGAGTTGCTTCTTCTTCCACCCCCACTCTCAAACTCACCAGCCTGTATCATCTGCATCAGATAAAAACTTGGCACTGGTTGTTGTAGGTGACCACCTTAGGAAAGCAGCTGTATAACCTT